ATCACGAGCTTTCCCGCCTTTCCTAACATTTAGGCGCAAGTCGCATGAAACCTCCACAAATGACCACGAGTTTATGCCGGAGGCCAGGCGTTTACTGACTTCTTAGCCTGTCACCAACTATGGTATAAAATTAAAAACTAGTAAGATTGCGCTCACAATGGGGGGACTTCTTTTGCTTCTCAAAGTCAACTTCAACCTCGTCAACCCGCTCTTCCTCCCCTTCTTCTTTTTTTTTTTGTTTGTTCGTTTGTTTTGTTTTGAGGGAGAGTCGGCAGAGCGCAAAGCTAAGAAAGAGTTTTGGAGTAACCTACTTTAGTCAAACTTTTCAGGTTCTTCCCCACTACGTAAAACATTTACTCCAACGAAGCCCAAACTGCAACGTACATTCCATTGAGATACTCTTTATGTTAATTTAAAAATATAAGGTTCATGGTTTATTCAAAAGTTCCGGCGAACCCTGTTCCGCGGCACCTGATACGACTTTTGTATATAGCTGTCGGTCCCTAGCTCCGACGTCCCACTGAGCAATCAATCAAGTGCCCGATACCTAAATGTAGGCGGGAAGGCGCGAGGCTTACTGAGGAATTTTAGAATCAATTCCGCACTTGGGAAGAAATGCTTTTTTTAACTGTGGTTTTTCTCGCTTTAGAAAGACAATGTCACGAATTGCACGGAGGAGGCGTTAATGGCGTGATAGCGACCTAGTAAAATAAACAGGCCCACGCTTTACCATGCGGGTCACACCCACTTTAAGCTAAACTAACGTAATATTTTAGTTGGCAGGCACATGGCTTAAAAATGTGCGACTTGACTTTCATCGGATATAAATTAATAATGTGTACTTCTGATTGATTTTCAAGTACTCTTATTGCATTTTGAGCTCTTCTAGTGGGCGTGCTTGATGAGATTATAAACCCAGGCGTTTAGAAATGCCATGTCAAAACCCTTTTAAATGCATTGCTATTTGTACTTTCATTAAGTAAAATCATTAAAGTGTTACTGAGAACCCAAATTTTTTTTTTTCCAAAATAGTTAGGATGACCCGTAAAGTTAAGAAAAAAGTAAATACTGAATGATCTGTAATGCTAAAAAAACAATTTTGATGTTTGCGTCGAAGCCTAAGGCGTATATGGTGAACTTTCACCTCCTTACCTTTCCTCGTTGCCCCAGAGCGGAAGCATGGAATGTGGAAGCTTCACCTCGGTCTCGCGTTGTCTTCATCTCCATAACCGCTTTTGCCAGGGAGAATCGATCGGTTTTCGAGAAATAGCATTGTATGGTCCTAAACACAACTTGGCCGAGCACACGATAGTATAAAGCCCCGGAAGGAGAAGATAGCGCAGCCTTTTCTGCCTCTGCTGCTACTCATCTGGGTCTTGAGGGAGACAGCAGAGGGGTGCGCTACGCCTTTGCAGACGCCCACCGTAGTCCTGGATTTCGTAAATTGGTGTAGTCTTTATATGAAAAAAAAAGTCGATTGGTGAACATGATTATCTGCAGTCTTACAGTGAGCACTCAAAAATATGAGCCCAAACGAGCAATTGCCGGGCCGGCTAAAGGGCGACACATGGTGCTGAAGTTACGCCAACGCAGCGGGATCACGATTGCCTGATGTGTGCCATAATTCTAACACGTGCGAGGTGGACAGACAGAAACCGTTCGCGAAGCACGTTTTCAGATCGCCGCTGATCTGCCTCAGATTTTCGCCCGCCACTCATGAGTGTGCATTTGCTTGAGCGTGTAGAGCAGCGATATTATCTTTTAAATACGGTAGCTTTTCTTTCGGACAAGGCGCGGTTCTCGTCTTCTGAGGTGCTATTGGCTTCCGAGGGCATTCCAGCTATGCTTTATATTCGATTACTGCTCAGTATTGATTAACATGGCTGAAACTCGGGAGTCAAACCTGGCCACATATATGCAGTTTAATGGGATACAAATACAAAATACTAAAATTTAAAAAAAAGAATCAGTGCTGACTGAATTTAATCAAGTTTAAACAAATATCTTTTGTTCCCATGAGCAGCCATAACCTTTGCGTTACCTTATCCATGTTATTTTCCTTTGTCGTTATTCGCTGAAACACTAAGGGGGTAAAAGCAAACGAAAAAGTGGTTGCACATATATGCAGCAAATTGAGCTGTTTTGTAGACTACAAATATAGGGTACGACGAAGCTAGTGTATCCCATCCCGGGTTCAAATGTGAACATAAAATATAGAATTTTTAAGGAATCCGTGATACTGTTAGAGGTATGTTTTTATCGATGCCGGTGCTGTAGATTATGTTGCTGTATATAGTAAGCCGGTTGTACGTAATGGTGACTTTACACTTACGAAAAAATTGCTGCGACCGAAGCGAATCCAGTGGTGGCGGAAAACAGGAAGTATTTACATCTATCTCTGCCAGCGGCGGCCGTTTCCTCTTGATGCGTCGCATCTAAGCGAAATTTATTGTTGTCTGCTGCTCTCGGCCACTCTCAACAAGATTTCGGTGTCGCTCGTAATACGCCTAGTTCGAGTAGGCTCAACTCACCTTGTTGACGCTGGATCGCGCACCGCCGCGCTCGTTTTGTACATAAGAGGAACCGCGCGAAGATGCTCAAGTTTTAGTGCGACGAAGACGAGACTGCGACGATTCCGTGTTTCCTACTTAGTATGTAGCAGCACATGCAGCCCAAACCAAAGAAGCAGCGGTACACCTTTGGTGGTAGTGCCTCCCCAAGACCGCGAAAAAAAAGGCACGCGCGCTCTGCCTCCTTCCTTGACTTCCCGCGTTAATCAGGTGAAATATTTTCCTAGCTGTAAACGTTGATGTAATTGCTAAAAGCAAACAGGAAGAAGAAACCCTCCCCGCTTCGCCCAGCACCTCGAATGAACGCACGACCCTTTGTTTGAAGTGGACTCTTCCCGCTGAATAGCTGACATCGTTTTGGTGATCCGTTGATTCCGCTTTGTTCCTTCATCGTTCCACTGTTATTTCTTGTGTAGTAGAGAACTGTGGTATTTGAAGAAAGTGTGTTCCCTTGAAGCCGGTGTTAGTTTGAATGGTGCCGAACTACAGCGTGTCAGACGCAGTCGCCGTCTCGAAGTGGTGCATTCTGCTTTATATAGCACTCGAATAATCGCCACACGAATTATGCTGCATCGGAAGGCCCTTACGTTTCATTAATTCGGTAGACTTTTTTTAAAGAGGCGACGGAGATTACAACGTAGTTATGGGCAATCATGTTAGCTATACAATCAAGATTTTCCAAGATCACGACCATCCATTTCCCGTGCGGCTACTTACTGTGTAGCAGGAGATGCAGAGCACACCAAACAAGCAGCGGTCCGTTGGCAATGGCGTTTCATCTATGCTGAGAATATACGGAGAGTGCATGCTGTCTCCTTTTTCGTTCTGGCCGGTGAATGTTTATCGGGCCGTGAAAGACGCCATTGCTATAAACAAAAAAAAAAAAAAAAAAAAAAAAAAAAACGGAAGGACGTACTTGGCAACGCAACTTCCGACAAACGCTTATTGGCTTGCGTGAGGCGAAACGCTTAGCATGACGCGAAAAGTGGTTCCCGGACCAATCCAGATTTTCCGCCAGTCACGAGCGGATTTTGCCACTAGGCTCCGAATTCCGCACGTCGCCGGCACAGATCCGGTCGTGAATTTGCAGGTGTAAACAAACTATAAGGGGCGATTGACTGATTAATTCATCATGCATTGTATATGGGAAAGTAAATTTATTTTGGACACGTATTTCAAGCGCAGCTCTTAGGCGCTCGTTCCCGTGTTTCGCGGCGTCGCCTTCGCGTAACCGCGCGCGTTGCATTTTTGGACGTCACAGACCTTTACACCAATTCGATTCCCTGCTAAATTTAGCGAAGAAACTGAATTGGTGTCTAGGTCTGGGACGTCCCATAATGTAGCACTGCGCATTAAGTTTCCCCCCTAAATTTAGCGGTAAAACTGACATCTGATGACCTCAACACTAATAAAGTTTCCCCGCTAAAATTAGAGAGGAACTGAAGTGGTGTTGGGGCGACGTGAAATAAATTGTCCTGCTAAATCTAGCGGAGAAACTGAATTTATTCGTAGGTGACGGGACATTAAATTTTGTAACGTCATCTTCTCCGCTAAATTTAGCGGGGACACTGAATTGGTGTTGAGGTCGCATGGCGTCAATTTTCTAGCTAAATTTAGCGAGGAAACTGTGTGAGGTTATGAAGGAAGAGGATAGTCCTCCGCACCTTCCTCCTCCTTTTTCGCCCCTCCTCCTCCTCTTCCCTTTCCTCCTTTTCTGTACCCTCCCACCCTCCTCCTGCATGCCCTCCCGTCACGGTATGTCGCAAAATCAAAATACGTCAAAAGTTGAGCTCTAATTTTGCATTCCAGGGATTTGTTAACGTGTTTCAATTTTTTCGTCTCAAATTGACTGTCAGAAATAAAAGGAACCGTGAAATAAAAAAAAAAGTATTTATTTCCCGCAACTGCAGACGACTAAGCGAAATCTCCAGACAGTCGATCCGATAACGCTAAGTGCCACTTTTAATAAATAATACATATTTATTTTATTTTTTGCAAACTTTTTGTTCAAGGGATGTTTCATTCAAATCCTGCATAAATTTCTAAAAATTTAAAGACATGGCTTAATCTTCTTAGAGCAGATTATGCCGGTCCTGATCAAAGTGAACTAAAAATATGCGGCAAAAATTAACCGAATTCATTATTTTTTATCATCATTGCTTGCACCTTTGATTTGTATCGCGTGCAGGACCCTTTTATTTTTGTGCTTCACTTCCAGAGAGTCCCAGCTAGAAAAATCTAGGCCGAAATATTATTTTTTTCTTTGACGGTTATACGGAAGTTGTTTTTGTATTTTATGTTATGTTCTGATGCCGGAGATATGTCAATTTATGTCCACTAGGTGTATTACACGATCATACTCTCGGCGCGCTTACCGCACAACACGTTGGATTTAGAAGATGATCAACGAGACTTGATATAATCAAAAAGCAGTGAGATCAATTTTTATTGAGGACTGCAGTGGAGACATTCCGCTACATTTGATGTGCACGCTACAAGTGGCAGAACGGGCAGGAGGTGGTATGACAGAAGATAGTTTAGAACGCGTTGCCAAAAGTCCTGTAGCCGCTTCCCAGTCTATCAAATGAGCCCCGCAACTCAGCAGATAACAAAAAAACAAAGCTGCTGAATTTGCTTTGACAGGTTGCAAAACGGCGACAGGAAATGCGCAACGGACCGGACAACAACAAAAAGAAAGCAAACACGAAGTTGACTTTGGAAAAGAGTCATGTTAGCCGCTGCTGTGACGGAAGATGAGCCCTCTAGGAAAACACCTCACTCTAATAGTACCATAGTTTTGGTTCACAATAAGTCATTTCTTACATTCTCAACGAGAAAACAGTGCTGAGTTCATTTCTACCTACTTTCCTTGAACATTATTCAAGCGTATAACTGAATATTAGTGCCATCTCGAAACGTAGTGAACAGGCCAGAACTAGTCCTGTAAAAAGTTAGGGTGTCTAAAAATGTTTCGATACGGTGAAATGAAAAGATAACAAATGAAATAATTTGGTAATCTAACATTCGAAATTATTAGATAGTAAATAATACAATGTGAAAGCAGGCTTAAATAATATTCAAGCTATCGCCAACAATTCCGCTAAAGGCAGGCTACGACGCGTTCATTACAAAACCAATCATGGTAGTATTATACCTATTTTCGTTCTCTTCTCTGATAGGCATCAGTCACTTAACTTGTGTATTTTAATGTCCATACTGTAGTATACAAAACTGTGGTCACTCATGAAAAAATTGCTTTTTCTTAATTAGTGCTTCTCTTTCCATAAGGCCACTCAACACTGCTGAGGCTTTCAATGTAACATTTTTTTTTCCCGGAGATAGACGGCCATACCCGCATGATTTATAACTTTACTCCGCTATCTGAAGGAAAAGCGGAGTGTCTCTTAGAGAACAGTTTCATTTGTCACGGTTCTAGGACCGTTCACAAGTGAGTACCTTGACGAACCTTGAGCCCTGTTTATGAACGTTCCCATAATAAAAAGATCCTTAAACGTCTTCCTAAACTGCTTGCTCATGCCGCAGTATATGGCAAAGTTCACAGGGTAACTTAACATGAGAAAGAAATTTGTAAAGAGTAGTGTGATGTTCAGGACATAGTACGACACGAACTGGACTTTGAACGCGTTGATGAGCACATGTAGAACTATTGTGACAGCAAGAGGGATCTCCACAGCTAAAAACACGGTCACAACAACGATGAGCATCATGGTAGTGCAGTTGCTGTCCCTGAGCTTCTTGCATTCGCTTTTTCGGTTTTCCTTGAGTAGCTTCATTCTCTTTTCCTGTGCACGCTTGAGGGCTCTGAATAAGAGTATGTTCAGAACGACCAGGACTGTGCAGGGGCCAATGTTCACAAATATGACTTTGAACGCGTAATAGAATATGAAGTAGACTTTTGCTGTAACAATCTGAGTCACCCACTCGGCCACGAGCATCTGGCAACCCCAGTGCGCCTCGCCTTGCCACCAGAAGCGCACGTCAACGAAGACAGTGTCAAAGAAACGTGGCAACTGATGGGCGAAGGCCACAAACGCCACCCAGCAGACAGTTCGTAGCACGCGTGGAACGGTGCACCAGGTGACGGCAATCGTTGGATGACAGACGTAGAAGTAACGCTGACCAGCCAGGACCAGAGTTAACCATACTGACGCTGTATGGAAAGAGTTGGGAATGACTTCGTTCATGCTGTTGTAGGCGTAGCAGGTGGCCGCCGGTCCAAGCACATTAGCGTAGTTTCCCAGGGTGTAGATGTAGAAGAACCAAGGCGATGGAATCAGCAAGGTCATCATATCACATATGGCCATTCCCAGGAGCACTATGTTGGTGGGCGTGCGCATATGCCTCTGGGCCAGCACCACCACAACGAACGTGTTGGCGATGATGGTGACCACAAGTAGAGCCGGCATGGCGTAGCCCAGCAATGGCAAAGCGAATTCGATTGGAGGCCCCCGGTTCGTCAGGTTGACCAGCATCGGCACCTCCTCCGCGTGAGGGATCAGACTGCTCAGGTTGAACTCGGCAGAGAGGTTGCTTTCCATCGGGCTTATGAGGCCTGCACAAAGAAAAGAAGATTGCGGAAGGTACATTAGTACGCCTGGCGGATCTTATAAAAAGGGCTCCAGAGCAATGAAACGAGCGTAATTTGTTAGCCTGGAGAATGGAAACCTGAATTTAAAGTAAAGGCCCACGGAATACGAGAAAAAAATTGACCTTAATTTATATGATTTCAGAAGATAAAATACAAAGTTTCGTACATTTTACTTTTGATCTTGAACGTTTAGAGCGCAAGTATGCCAGTATACATACCGAAAAAAAAAAAGACGCGATCGAAGAAAACGTTTTTCAGAAGGAACCTTAATTCTCCAGTAAAATCTTGTTAAAATGGTTTCAAAGAGATTAAACTCTGCAACGTCTGCTCATTTGAAGTACTTGTGTTTGTTTCATGTTTACACTCACGTTCTAAATCTGCGAGAGTGTTTAACCAAAACTCTGTCTGATTTCTTTCTATGTATGTTTTAATATTTTTCGATATATGTTTGAATCGTCTAATTCGCAGTCAAAAAGCAGATGAAAAGGACTTTTGTCTCGCGGCCAGATATTTTCGCTCACATTATTTGGTACGGAGCGTGTAGTTTCTGGTTGTTTTCGCAAACAAGTTAAACAAAGTAACGGTAGTTCCTGATTTGGAATTTGTAAAAAGGTCTTTCATACAAAGCTCACAAATAAAACCTGAATATATTACGCTACAGTTTGTGTGAAGTCTTCCAACCCAAAACATAATCTACTTCGCAACCCTCTTTTTTCATTTATTTGTTATACTTTAGCTATGGGTATACACGCATAATTTGATGGTGTTTTGAAACATGGCCTACCTTAGGGGCGTGCCGTCTACGGGCCACTAATAGTGCCACTATAAATTGCCCAATAAAATAAAAAAAAATGTTTTAATACGGCGATATTAAAACTACAATTTGTGCATTACGGAATTTGTGCGAGACTGCAGCGCTTCAGCTGGTCAGTAATGGAGCTACTAGAGAAGTGTAATTGCCATTAATTATAGAACTATTTGTAACATTAATGTGGCTTTTTAACATTTTTTAGTAAAATAACGCTTAACAACTTTCGCCATAAAACGCCCAGTGGAGTAGAATATACAAGATGACCAAAGTAGAGACAGCATTTTTTATGCCGTCCAAGGACTACCTACGTACATTGTTTTTGAACCTGATAGCTCCCTTCAACGGAATTCTCGAACTGTGTTGATAAAGAAGCAACCTAAATTAGGTTACATAATTTGATGAAAAGAAACACATATTTAATGTATACTCACGATTTGTTCGGGCAGTGCTGAATTTAAAGGTTATAAATATCGTACTGGCTTTCACGATCTAAAAAATCGTTCTCCGGGTTTTTTTGTTTGTCTAATACTGCAATTATATTGGCTGTCGAGCGATAATAATATGTTGGGGGCTCACTACGCCCAGATTTTACTTAAGCTTTCTGTGCCTATAGGTCTATGACACCTGATAGCTTGAAAACGCAGGGTTCGGCACATTAGGTTAAAGCTTCGTGCTTCGTAGTTTGTTATTGGATGGTCTTACGGCTAAGGCCGCAATATTAATAACTGAGGAGCGTTAATAAGTTGCTCGGGATCGACACTTCCTGCGCTTTTTAATCTCTCAGTGATTATAGTCATGAAAAATAATTAGCACTCATAAGGTATAATTTTTCAACTGAGGAAACTTTAATGGTAATGTGTGTGGGGTTCGGCGCCGCTGTGACGGCATATTTCGCAAGCGCGTACCATAAAGCTATTTTCAAACGTCAAAGGGGAAGTTCAATCGCTCCAACAACGTTTTAAGGACGACTTGTTTCGAATCGTACAATTGCTTTATCTCGATAAGAGTGAGGCCTTACATCACCTATGGACGCGCGCGGTACTCCAGCAGACATGAAAACAACCGAATCTGCGCTTTGTCTGCAGGTTGTTTTCGCTGACATAATTTCAAAGGCTAGCTAATTTCACCGCACTACACAAAAATGCATTTCAGTAAATCTGATATCACGGTTAAGGCCACTGTGTGGTGTAAACGTTTAGACTAGGGAAATTGAGTCAGCTGCGATGGGTGTCTGGTGTCTGTACGCTGCAGAATAATAATTTTGCCAGTGAAGTACGACTGTTAGCCTTGACCCTGTAACGTGAGTCACGCAGTAGTAAAACACGACTAGCACTACGGTACACTTCTCATCCAGATCAAAACTGAAAGGATGTATTTTTTTTTATTTTCGTTGCTTGAGAGAGCCTCTGCTGTGACTCCGTCTTTTTGGTAATGTTCCGCGGGATATTTTTAAGGAGTTAGAACTCTGAATTAATTCAAGATTGACTGCCTATGTGATTCTTTCTGTAACGGACTAAAATGAAGGAATGAATATATGACAGGCCTTGCACTTGTAATTCCGAGATTATAACAGACCGGTTTTCAAACGCTTATTATGAAAACTATATTAAAAAAAGAAAACGGTCTGCACCCTTTGCGCCCGAAATATACTCTCATACATAAAAACAACGACCATTTCAAACGGCCCAATCTCCCATGCCAATTAATGTTTACCATGATACACTGTGCGATTGTGACAAAAATTGAGTATTTTATTAGCATTCCGTGCCGGCGCCGGAGCCTGAAATATCATGTGAGCATGTTCATTTGCATAATATATGGCTGGCCCAGTTAAGCGAATTCGAAATTTACATTACACACAGAGCTGATCAAAAAATGAGTCCGCCGAAACGAGTGCCGGGATGGTCTAATAAAGTGGGCGCAAACTCTTTCGAGTGTATGTGTGTGTGTGTGTGTGGGAGGGGGGGCTGGAAGGGGGCAAATAGCCCACTTCAGGAAGGTCAAGGGCAAACGTAAGGCCCTTGACCTTTCGGGGGAGGGGGGGGGGGTCTGAGAGATTTTCTAAAAAGCCCTCGAGCTCGCTGCTTTTTTTTTTTTCTTTTGTAAACTCGCAGTTTGGCAGTGACATATTTTGCTTTGATTCGTTCACTGCACTAATTTGGTCCCGTACCTGATATAATACTGCGAAGTAACGCTAATTAAAATGGCCCCACCCCGCCGACGTGCTGGCATTTTTTACAGACCGAGAGCAAGCACGCTATCTTTGCCGTTGCCCAGTTCACTGGGAAATTATTCCCACTCAATTAGTCCCTTTACTAAAGGTTTATATCGCAGCCATTTGGAAGAAAAAAATGTCGTATTTATAGTGATTATAATTGAAGGCGGCAATCTCAAACTCGCAGGTTATCTATTTCTCTCCCGCTGAGCGAGAGTTCGCGCTGCCGAGGTCCCTTCTTGAGCGAAGAAAGCTCGGAAGTAAATATTAAACTGAAACACCAGGCAAATGAGAACAAAATAGCACAAACTATGTGATACGTTATAAATGCAGAGCTACGCGTCCGGCGGAAATGGTTCGGCGACATGAGATCTTTGCAGCGCATGCCATTTCTAGCGCTTGAAAAATGTATACGGGTGCTCGTAGCCGGTTGCCCGGCGGGCCGCGTGCTTGAGACCCGTGGCTTTTTTAATTTAATGAAAATTAATTTTAGTTAATTTTAATTTAATTCATGAAAGCGTCGCCCCAGAAAGGCGAAGGTTGCGGGTTCGATTCCCCACTTGTGGCCCTATTTTTCGCAAGCTCTCTTTCCCTTTCTCGTACTTTTATGCTAACTACTCGAGATTCACTTTCTCCCCGCTTCGTGCACATGTATATATATATTAAGTACTTTCGCTTAGGTACAACCGGTGGTAATATGAGTTGGTTCAGACGAATTTGTAGCCACAAAAGGTAAAACGTCGCCAATCTAAAAAAGGGGTAATGCCATTACACCTTCTGTCGCATAATACACCCCACAACTTCAGTTCGACGTCCATTGCACTGACTTCGAATTTATACTACCAACTTTCACGAGCGACTTGATAGCCGAGTGCTACAACTTATTAAAATAGCCAATGTACCTGTTACTGGCTACAAAGTATTAAACAATTAATCTTGATATTATTAATTCAGAAAAGGTGTAGCTATTACACCCTTTACACAACAACCCATACCTTCAGTTCACCGTAAAGCTCACTTACGTAGAACTGACGGCCCCAACTTTTACGAGAGGCTTGATGACGGTGCGATATAACACATTGAAGTGCTAAAGTAGCTTCAAAGACTACGTGATTTTTTCTTGGGGTTTTGCAGTAGGGCCGAGGAATCATCAATTACTTTTTTTTTTAGGTCGCTCACACCTACATTAGCATTTTTGATAAGTGGTAGAACTCGGCTATTAAGCCGCTCGTGAAAGTTTGTACAGTCAATTCAACGTCAGTGTGTTGTACGTCGAACTGAAGTATTTGGGTGTGTTATGTTACAAGAGATGTAAGACTATAGCATATTTTATTGTGTGGGATACTTTCGACATAATATGAATCCGTTTGACATATTGTGATGATGCAAATTCTGGGTGTCCATTCAAACCTTGTTAATAGCTTAGCGCACCAAGTGTTCTCTGCACGACGTCTCTGCGGCCTTCGCTTGAACGCTGCTGTCCTTGCTCATAGAGGGTTTTGATTTTAGTTCGAACAGATTAAAAAAAGTGTGTGAGTTAGGCGAGTGCCGTCTTCACCATATCTTCACCATACCCGGCCCGGCGTACATTAAATCGGGGGATAATCGTCCTGTTTATTTGACTAAGAAACTCAAATTGCTTTGTTCACCTCTTGATTGTTGGTTTTAGGGGCCATGTTAGAATTGCAGTATTGACTGCAATTACCATTAGAAGCCAAATCACTTTAAAGAAATGCAAAAATGTAATATGTTTTAGATATTAACTGATACATGTTCGCGTTGTTCCCCCGATTTAAAAATCGCACGCAAAAAGGGCGCATAAATTCCTGCCCATATTCACACTTGGAAGAGTGGCGTAGTCGTTTAGGTTATGTCGCCTCTTGTGTCGGGGGAAAACGCGAAAAATTGTCGATTAATATATTAACATCTATTTTCTAAATGCTTTAAATCGGCCTGGCCTTTACAGTAATTGTCGTCAAAACTGCAATTGCAGCACCACCCCTTTAACAAATAATTAAAAGTTAATCAAGGAAGCTTAGTTCCTTAGTCAACTCACCGTGACGGTTTACCCTCATTTAATGTCCGCCGAGCCTGATAAACACATGATGAAGAAGACAGAACTCGCCTATCACTCATTTTTTTTTTAATTTTGTTCGAATTAAAATTAAACAGCCTGTATGCCGGTACATTGCCACAGTATTCAACATAAAGAGAATCTTAGAAATGGTATATGAATAGTGTATAATCTAATTGAAACAACGACTTGGTCATCAAAATAGTTTTATTGATATGTGCCAAGAATAAAGAGCGGAAACAATCAACTCGCGGAACATGCAGAGTCTGTTGTACATTTTTCCGTTCATGGTGTTCTATTCACGGGTTGTGCAAGACCGTTCGTTATAAACTACTATGTGCCCAGATACGTAGCGTACGCGTTAGGGATGCAAGAAATATAATTGTGCATGAAATGTTGCGTACATTTTGTTGTGCTGTGCACACATCAACAACATCGCGTGCAAGAAAACATTGAAAACACCGAAACCACACCTTGTGAAATCCCTCACAATATAAACAAATTTTACAGGTTTTTTTAAAGTTGAGAATACAACCAACTCCATATTAACTGATAGATTTGTCAAAAGCACTTTCAAATATGTATTTTTCTGGTGAGGTCGAGTTAATAATTGAAAAAAATAACGTTTACTATTCTTGTCTGATATTCTAGAGTAAATAAAACACTTAAGAGTCAAGACATTTACATCTTTACCTATTCGAATTACAGGCAGTGCGCGGGCGAGCTGGTGGAAGTCTGCCATGATGATATTAACCCGAGACGAGGATAGGAGAAATATTTTTTTTACAGTGCAGAAAAACGTAACAGGGGCAGGCAATGTCTCTATTTCTTCCTCTTATGCGCCAGTCTCGGGTTTATATCATCAGGGTTACGTTTTGTGCGCACTTAATTTCATTCCTATTTCAAAAACAACAGGAAGGGTTGGGTGTTAGCACAATTATTTCTGCCAAAGGAAGAGCATGCAATAACTGTTCTTACATTGTGTTTTGTATTCCGAAGTATAAGCATAAAAAATGCCTATCAACCGTGAAACCTGACATTACTATGCTGGAGGTGCCGAAGGAAATCTCAAAATACCTCCAAATAAAAGTGCACGCTCTTCAGTATTCTGCAGTTAATTTTTTAATGCGTCCAGCTACCCTAATTTCTACAGGGCTGAAGTTGCACACACTCAAATTCGAAGCTTTTTTTCGTTAATTTTAATGGTTGTCAAAGAAAGCTAATGCTTGTATTGTCCCGGGGTCTTCGTGTGTGAATTTGATCAGTTTGGCATACGTCAGAACCGGATTTGCAAATGACTCAATAGAAAGATTCGATAGACTAAAATATTCATTAGCAGAATAATCATCTTCCAGATAGATATTATATTATTAAAAATATAGTTTAGAAAGGTGTACATTTCGGGTCCTAATAAAAGTCAAAACACCAGAAGTACTCTTCAAATAGAGTTAAAATCGACCAAAATATCTGTGTAAAAAGATCACCAACAGGATATCATTTTATAAGCTCGTAGGTGTATAGGGTGGTATATATAAAAGCTAGAGTATATCAGTCGTCATACCTTGTCAGAATATGTGGCACTTTTACACAGATGATTAGAATGAAGAACGCGCAAAAAAAAGCACCGAAAAGGGTTAGTCATTCCAAACTTTAATCCTAGGAAGGATTTGCCGGCGGAACGTTAGTTTTGCGAATCTTTAATTAAAATAATTTTTAAAATATAAAAAAAACTATAAAGTATGAGATAACATTAATTACACTGGGCCGATTTTTCTTTCCTATTTTGCAATTAACTTCAAGCAAAAATTGAAGCACTTGTTTACAAATAGTGTTTGGAGAATCATGTTAAACACTATATTACATTAATAAAATTACCAGTAATAATTGAGGTATGAACGCAAAAGTCACAATTTTTCCTCAGCGACAAATATATCACACGACAACATATGAAGCAAACACTGACGGAAACAGCCGGTCCTGCTGCCTTGTGCTTACTGATGTGATCACACACAAAAAAGAACAAAAAGGCAGCTTAAAAATACATACAGACTGCAGAAGAAGTCAAACATTTGACTTTTGCTAAACAATACACTACTTATCAAACAATTAACCACAATATACAATGTTTTCTCAATAGAAATGTATACTCTGTACAGATATTTCCAGGTACGATTGCCGCTTGTCGTGTTGTTTAGATATAAAAATGAATGATGATGCTATGAAGGTACCTTCCGATTGTTCATGTAAAACAAACATTTTATGTTAAGCAAGGGGTGTTTTATCGGTATCACTAACACTAGAATATATATTGAGGAGTAAGAAGTGATGTTCGTTTTGTTTTGTGTTACTTCGCATTATGACGATAAGTACGAAAAGTAAAATATGAGTTGGGCCGTTTGTGCAGGTGTATATGGTTGTTCAACGTTTGTTAGATTAAAAGAAAAGTATGTTTGTCTTCCTGAACACTCTCCTAGGCACATCCTAGAATTATTTATTGAAGAAAAGCGAATAGGGCTTAAACATATATGCACACACAAATACTACGTAGTAGGTCCTTGAACTGTGCCACTTTAGCGTAGTATAGTTCTCTGCATAATCTGTTTTGGAATCCTTACGTAATAGTATTTGGTTTAAATGAGAAATCGTCCCTGTGTGCTTTCAAACGAATTGCTGTTTAACACAACTTCGCGCTTGCTTTGGAACTGAGGTTCTAGGATTATGCTTTGCAGAGACCTATGTCAATATTACAACTTAATTATACGATGTAATATCGTATAATTACATATTACAATATAATTACGCGTGACGATTGAAGTTTAGTAGCAACATGATTTCAGTTCTGTTGAATATAAAAATACGCAGTAGTTAATGTTAACCACGTGTTAACAAAGATAGATGTTTGTACTTTTTAGAAGCCCTGTTCATGATTATTATTTCTTGAGAAATTCGAACCGATACCTTTACAAATGCTTTACAATGCTTTACAAAGGAAGAGTGATGATTATTTATTATATTACTCATCTGTGGTTTAAAAAGTAAACGTAAAGCCCTAATCTAGATGATACATGAAAATGGGGCTATTCGGGGTGTTTGATCTTAATTAGACCATATTTGTTTGTTTTTATAGGGGTGAGAGTTCAACGCGTTTTGTTTTTAACATGAATTTATCGGGCTCGGCAGATGTTAGTTGAAAGGATTAATGTCAGGGTAATTGGACTAACTAACTAAAGTCTTTAAATAAACTTGTTGTAATTATTGGTTTTATTTTTAATTGTCATGTTGGAATTGCTGCACTGAAAGCAATTACGATTAGAGGCTAAACAAATTTGAAGAGCGTACGGAAGCGTAATTTTTCTTTTAGATATTATTGAGTCAATCTTCGCGTTTTTTTCCTTGCCGTTTTAAAAATAGCGCACGAAAAGAGCGCATCAAGCCCTGCCTACCGTAACGCTTGGAAGAGTGATGTAGTTGTTTAGTTCACGTCATCATTTCTGTAGTTGGCGCACCCGCCAAGGAGACACTGCCCATATAGTAACGACGTGATTCAAAGGAGACGTCACTCTTCCAAGCGTCACTGTGGGCAAGGCTTGCGACTCTAGTTTTTAGAACAATTTTTAAACCGGGCGAGAAAACGCCCAGATTTATTGATTAATTACTAAAACACCATTACGTTTGGCTATTTTTTTAGATTTGTGTGGCCTCTTATAGTAATTGTCCTCAATGCTGCAATTCCAACATGACCCTAAAAGTCAATAACTAAAACGGTAATTTAGAAAACTTAGTTAAGTAGTCAACTTGCTGTGAGGGTAATCCCCTCATCTAATGTCCGCTGAGCCTGACAAATACTTGACGAAGGAAGAACAAGTCCAACTCTCACCACCTATTAAAACAAAATCTATTCGATGACAATCAAGCTCCCTGCAAAGAAAATTAGGAATGCGTTCATTGAATATTTAGTAAACTTAACTTGAAACCCGAGGTATCTGATTTGTAACACTATAATAGAGTCTCAGTGTTTGATGGTCGTATGCCGTTCATCATTGAGTACCGAGAGGAGCCTTCGCGCCTGCTTACGACTGAACCCATCATGAACAAGTCCTTGAAGGTTTCTCGAAACTGCCGACTCATGCCACAGTAGATGGCAAAGTTTACCGGATAACTGAGCATAATGAAAAAGTTCGTGAATAAAATGATAATATTCAGGGAATCGTAAGAGACAGGGTGCACGTCCAGCGTGTTGATGAACACATGCAAGAGCACAGTGACAGCGAGTGGGATCTCAACAAGAAGAAACACGGTGACCACGACTATAAGCATCATGGTAGTGCAGTTGCTGTCTCTCAGCCTTTTGCATTCGCTCTTGCGGTTTTCCTGGAACAACCGGAGCCTCTTCTCCTGCGCTTTCTTGAGAGCCCGAAACAGCAGCATGTTGAGTAAAACCAGAGCGGTGCAGGGTCCTGTGTTTACAAAGATGACCTTGAACGCGTAGTACAAGATGTAGTAGGCGTGCTCGGCGAATATGTACTCGACCCACGGAGCCGTGCGCATGTTGCATCCCCAGAGAACTTGTCCTTCCCAGCGGAATTGAACATCTTCGTATATCCTGTCGAAAAACCTAGGCAGCTGATGCGCCAGGGCGAGCGTCATGATCCATACGATGACGCGCATCACGTTGGGCACAGTGCACCAGTTCCTGGCTGTTGTTGGGTGACAAACGTAGATGTACCGCTGGCCCGCCAGCAACAAGGTTAGCCAGATGGAGGCGGTGTGGAAAAAGTTGGGGATCACTTCATGCATGCTGTTGTAGGCGTAACAGGCAGGCGCAGGCTTGAGGATGCCGTCGTAGTTTCCTAGCGAGTAAATATAGAAGTACCATGGCGAAGGCACGAGTAGCGTCATCATGTCGCAGATGGCCATTCCCAAGAGAACGATGTTGGTTGGAGTGCGCATGTGCCTTTGCGAGAGTACCACCACCACGAGGGTGTTGGCGATGATGGTGATTACGAGAAGAAATGGCATGGCATAGCCCAGTAGAGGTAGGGTGAACTGAATTGGTGCCTCGCGGCTCGTTAAGTTGAGAAGCCCCGTGATGTTCTCAGCGAGAGGCACGCCACTCTCTTCCTTCGGCGGTGTGTTGTTGTCGCCTTGGGAGAAGCCGACGCCTGGCCCTGCGTAAAATAAAAAGATTAATCACGTTATAAGCAAATATAGGACTGCCCCATGACTTCGACCTAATATGCAAATATTAAGAATTATACTGGATGTTTGACTTTAATGCGAACATATATGAAAATGGGGGGGGGGGGGGGGGTGAGTTAGACGTGTACCATTTTCAGCTAAAATTCGTTAATTGCCTTTTATTTTATTTGTCTTAGAGGTCACCTTGCAATTGCAATATTGACTGTAATAACAATGAGAGCGCAGACAAACTGAATAGATTTGCAAAAATATATTGATTTTTAAGGCATCTATTGATACATTTTCACGTTTGTTAAACCGTTTTAAAATGTGCACGCAAAAAACGCACCGGCAGCTCTGCCCGCAATGACGCTTAGATGTCACTATCTCGGCAGCGCGTCCTCGGTGGGTACGCCGACGACCCAGGTGACGACGCGACTGCAACGGCTACATCACTCTTCAAAGCGTGATTATGGGCAAGGCTTGGTGCGCTCCTTTTGCGCGCGATTCTTAACCTGCGTGAAAAAAGTCGTGAAAATCTATCGAATAATATATCGGATATCATTACTTTCTCGCAAATTCTTTCAACTTGTCTGCCCTCTAAAAGTAATAGACCCTTTTCAAAAGTCAGCCACCTTGTGGCAATCCCGAAAGCTCAAATATTGCCCCTCTAATGGCGGTCATAAGAGATCATGCTCGGCTAAATCAAGCACCCTCCACTTCGTGAATCGAAGGTGACGTAAAAGGACCAACATCTTTTCTCATTTCTACTCTTTGGTTTCGAAGACGTTCGCTTCTTCTGGTGTGGAGAAGCTCTGTAGCGCCGCCATTTGAGAGGGTGGTTTGACTCTGCAGTGAGTGGTTACACTGACTTTAGGAAAGGGTCTATTGCCTTCAATAATGGGCTTCTAACATAACCCTTAAATGCTATAATGAAAAAATTAACAAAATATCTCAGTTAATTCTTCAACTTTCAGCGACGATTATCCCCTAATCTAAAGTTTACCGAGACTGGTAAAGACGGCACTCCTCTAAATCTAAACTCTATTTTTAATATGAGATCCGTTCAAATTAAAATAAACGCCACGTATATTTAAAAAAATAACGCAGAACGAAAAGGTTAACTTTGTTCTGCACTTTGTCTGGCCAGCATTCAGCTTGGTGTGTCTTTATGCGTTTATTTTACTCGCACAACTAAGTTCGGTGACCTTAATGATTGCACATAACCTTCCTTAATATCAGGAGGGGTGCGCTAAAAACGGAGATGCACTTTATAGCGCATTTCTAACTAACGCCTAAAGGTACCTACTCCTCGTTGTTGTGATTGCTACGTAGGTTACGGAATACTTTCTGCCGTAAAGCTGATATTCATGCATTGGTCCAACGTGTTTAAAATTTGAAGCACCAGACGATAAGCATGCAGTTCCATACATTATTCATAAAAGAGTTCATAAGTTGTTTCAAGTAAGTTGCTTTAAAAATCAGTGCACTTTTTTTTTTCTGGTCAATACTCTTAGGTATGGTTCCGGAAAGTGGCACATCTACAATGATTTTTTTTTTATGTAGAACTAAACAAATGTAATTTCATGACGTGGAAGCGGAGTTGATAACAGAGATTTAAATCTCGAAAATTAGAACCTATTTTTTCTAGGAAATGTAAAGGAATCCTTATTATAATAAATGCCACAAAAGCGTTTTTACAATTTTTAAGGATAAATTTCACAGATAAATTAAGCGAAATTTATCTTCAGGTGTTGCGAACTTAAAACATTGAAACGCGAATTCAAGCTCGACCATGAACTATGATCTGCACCCATTAAAATATGTTTAATGCATACCATGGGTGGTTAAAAAGTTGAATCGTGTATACATTTATATGAGCCAATCAGTGTTAAAATTCTGCACAAGTCTATTCACATGAAACATGCAAGTTTATATTTTTCTTGCCTTCTCTTGCTCATATATAAGTTGTTTTTTTTTATTTCGCCTTCTCTTGCGTATTTGTTTGCGCCTTTTCTTGCTCATATGCAAATACTACACCCTGTCGATATTAATTATCGCTTCAAAAACATACAAAACTTTTTTTTTTGCTATGGGTTTGGAAATGTTGTTTGTATATATCTACCAGAACTACAAAACTGGCAAGATGTCAGCTGGAAACTATTTTCTCTCATGAATTCAACGACACTCTAGAAAGCACGAAAAATACATTTTTTGGAACCAAATAGAAATGTAACACTATCATTTATGAATTCAATCATAATTTTGCCAAACAAAGTGACTGCAGATTTTAAAGGAGGTGTATATTATTCGTCGAAAAGCACACTACACCAATATTTGCATATTAGTCTAAGCAAATCATGCGATTCTTTGCAGATGTCTATACAAATTTTAAAAAATGAAAATCATCAACATAAACGAATTTAAATACCAAGGAGGTCCCAGAAAACACCGGTTGCTTTTAATTATTGAGAATAAATTATTCACTTTCACTATAATTTCCCTGTGATAGGGCGAAGACTACCTCGCATGCAAACACCAATATTTAGCCAGTATAATCTTAGAAATCTTTGAAGTAAAATGACGCTACCCGCATCAAGCAAACTATTAATATTCGGTTGCCTACGAGATCATAGGATCAAACAAGAAAATAACCAAGAGCCAGTAACGATGGAATCAGCCCCGACTTCATTATAAGCAGCTTAATGTTTTGAACTTCAGAAATTTTACAACTAAATTTGTTTCATGAAGCAGCGTTCCGCAGAATAAATGAATTAGTTGAGGGGTATGTTTTTATTTTAAAAGCACTCATTCCTTCACACTATGTAGGAATCAACAACACTTTGTACGACCTAAAAGCAGACACATTGAATATATACGCATATCAGATGCAGTCAAGTTTGTTAATTGCGATTGGTCTTGATGTTTCACTGATTGTGTGTCGCAACGTTAGATTACTTCATAAATATTCCAAAGGTGCATCAATATAACAAACTGTAAGATAGTATGTATTGTAAGAAACTAATTTGATAATTCCGCCAAGACTGTAGTACTTGCAATATTTTAAAGCTTAATCTATAGTAATGCTGGCTTGTTAGAAATAAGGAATAACTATATTTTAACATCGAAAATCCAAATGAATACATAATTAACACACAAAGGGCAAACATTTTGAACAATACTTCCAAACAAAAAAAAAAGAAATATTTCCATAAAATCAGATTAATCAAACCTTTCTTTATTCAACTAAAATAGCTCGGAACGTCAAATTCCCCCCAGTGAATGTCGCGCCTTACACAAATTTTCGAGTTAGACAAGTTGTGCATTTTTTAGGCACGCAGCGCGAAGTAATATTATGTGAAGTCTCGATCTAGACATTACAGCGTTTATCGGAATTCAACCCCGTCAGCCCATTGAGTCAATTTATTAACTCCAGATACACTATTTCTTGTTTTTACCGCACAAAAAAAACAAAAAAAACGACAGAGTGATTATCACATTGCCGACTATTTCTAGCATGGGTACGCAGAAGGCTGACCATTTTATTGAGGATCTATAAGCTACACGCAACTCAATTATTTTACGTCTCTTAGCTTACTTTTTTATAATGCGGAATAGCTGCTTTCCCCATCATTCCCGAGACTTAGCGTAAGGCAGTGTGTCTCTGAATAACCATCCTGGTCTCGGCGTCCGTGCCGAATGTGCATAAAATAAATAGTGAACTTTGTCCACAAGGCCTGTAAAGCCGATCACTGACGGGCTAAAACAAAGTACCTGATCTCCAACTCCACCCCCGATGGCTAAGCAGCTGTCCCGCTTTAGAATATTCTACAGCTGCAAGTTCATATTTAGGACATGCGAGCATTGTCAGGAATACAGGAACCAGAACGCTCGCGCTGCAAACAGGATTAGCACATGCTATAAAACAAATTCTACAAGCATGATGCCATCGGCAAAACAGTGCATTCGTCTATTGAGTGAAGCAGCAGGGGTTCTTAAAGCACTCGCTCTAAAGTGTGAAAATTTCTTTATGTAAACAAGGAACAAATCAAAACTTCAAATAATAACGAATTTTTTTTAAAGGAGGTAAAAGGTTAAGCTTACCTGAAGTATGATTGCCCGTCGTTTCATCTTGATTGCCTTGGAAAAGTATGATCGCATTAGGCGTCCAAATTTGGGTTGGACACACCTTTGCACGGAGGCCGACAAAACCGCTGCTGCTGCAACCCAACTAAAGTGAATTTCTGAGATTTAGGTAATATGGGCGTTCACACGTTGTACGGCCGAAATATTGAAAAAGCTCCAACCACTACGGTACTACACGAATATAAAAGTGCGAGTGTTGCATATTTAGAAAAACATGCATACTACCAGACCTGTTATATATTCTTTATTAGTTCAACAGTCACTCACGTCTCATGCAACAAATACAAGGCGTTAAGGTTTGCCGTAGGAAAACTCTAATAATCAAGGCTTAAAATGAGCGTGCACAAGTATAAATTAACCTAATATTGCGTTGTTTGTGTACCGGCTCTTGGGGATGATTTTAGTATCCTCGGAGAGGTGAGGTTTATAAGTTACTTCACATTGCCTTCTGATTCTAAAGAGAAATAACAAACAAATGTTACAGTGTAAGAAAACAGCTGAAAATTAATTAGATTGTTGTATGGTTAGTTATTACAGAACATCAGGAAGACGTTCAACACTATGTTAATCGGGATGTCAACCAATAAAAGATAAAAAATTCAAGATCTTGACACATATTTGGCGCTCCGTTTTATTGCTGCATCTATTTCATTGTAAAATAAAAAATTTGTAAGAAAAAACATTTTTTTTTCTTTTTGCTGAGAGTGTTTTTTGCTGATATAAATCACACATGCGTATACAATGTCAGTTCTTGTTTTGAGGATAGTAGGCTTCGGCAGATGTCGGCTTATAGAGAGCTTTTGCCTTTGTCATATGTTTTTTTATTCA